CTCAACAATAAAGATTATAAATAAATAAATAAATAAATAAATAAATAAATAAATAAATAAATATTTCTTGGAGGGGGCAGAGCAGGAAGAAAATAATAAAGCTGTGGTAGTTAGGGAACATTTTATGAAAAATGAATTCTTACAGAGATGGATCATAACCGGTTAAAATGTGAGTGGATATGTGTTTATAGCCTAAACTGCAGCAATTTGGAGCCTTTACAAATCTATGGATATTTGTATATATGGACACATACACAACATACAATATTCACATATGTTTTTGAGACTATATTAGTCTTATTTTCAGAAAATAATAGTTCACAAAAAGCACTGAAGATGAGCTATAACCATCCTAGTTATTTGAAGGATGTTTTAACCCCTATATTTATCAAAAACTTACAATTAAATATAGTTTCATATTTTCTACCATTCAAGCACAATACAGAAAGACTTTTTATTCCAATGATTGGAATTTGTTGTAAAAAATAAGTTATATTTGTATAATTTGGCATTATTTTGACTCATATTAAGGACTCAACACGTATTTGTTCCATTGAATTATAATCTTGTATTTTGTCACAGTTTTACACAAATTGCAACTCTTTCTACTCTAAAGAGATAATACTAAGCCTAAAGTAGTGTTTAGAGTGAACTTTGTGTATTACCTTTGCCAGATATAGGAATGAATTACCTTTGTCAGATAAAGGAATTTATTTTAAATAAATTAAATTTGGAAACTTTAAAACATTAAGGTGTTTTTAAATTTGTTTGTTTATTTGTTTTTACTTTCTGGAAAAGGGAAAGTGTTATATATTTTTTAATACATGTTATGTGCTGTCCCAGGCAACTTGCATGCTATCACAGTTGTAGCATTGTTCAGTACCAGTAGATGGTGCTAATATCACCTGGCCCCATTAAAACCAGGATGACTTGCTTTACTTACTCATTTCAATGGAACTCGGAGTAGACTTCCAAATAGTAATTAGTTATGTTTTAATTTGAAATTAAAATCCAGCTGAGAGTCTATCTGTAGCTTGAATTTTCTTTGTATAGCCCAGTGGTCGGCAAATTGCGGCTTGTGAGCCACATGCGGCTCTTTGGCCCCTTGAGTGTGGCTCTTCTACAAAATACTGACTTCTGCGCATGGGACATGAATTTTCAATCACACTGTACGTGCGCGCCCGCACGTGGTATTTTGTGGAAGAGCCACACTCAAGGGGCCAAAGAGCTGCATGTGTCTTGCGAGCCGCAGTTTGCCGACCACTGGTATAGTCCATCAGGCATTTAGCAAAGGCTTTTATTCCTTGCCAGGAGGAGGAACTCAGTACCTCCTTAGGTAGTCATCCTATCTCTGAGCTACTTTGGCTCTAAGTTCTAACATAGAGTAAGCATCTTCTTCCTCTACAATCTATGCACTGGTTCTAAATTTATCCCTGGAGGTCATCAGAAGCAATCCATTCATTATTCAACAATTATTCACTGAGCATATTCATTTTCTAGGGTTTCTATAATGAAGTTCCACAGCTGGATTGCTTATAACAAAAGATATTTATTCTCTACCAGTTTTGGAGGCTAAAAGTCCAAAACTCAAGGTGTTGGGAGGGCCATTCTCTCTGAAGGCTTGAAGAGAGAAATCTGTTGTATGCGCTTCCTTAACCTCCAGTGTTGCCAGCAATCCTTGCCATTCCTTAGTCTGCATATACATCACTCCGTCTCTGCCTCCATCATCACATGGTATTCCCCTTTGTGTGTGTGACTATCTTTTCTCTCTCTCTTTTTAAAAATATTTTTATTGAATTTATTTATTTCAGACAGGAAGGGAGAGGGAGAGAGAGAGAGAGAAACATCAATGATGAGAGAATCATTGATCGGCTGCCTCCCACATTCCCCACACTGGGGATCGAGCCTGCAACCCCGGGCATATGCCCTGACTGGGAATTGAACCCGTAACCTCCAGGTTCATAGGTCAACGCTCAACCACTGAGCAACACTGGCCAGGCTGTCTTCTCTTTTTATAAGGACACCAGTCATATTGGATTACGGCTCATCCTGATGATATTATCGTAACTTGATTACATCTATAAAGACCTTATTTTCAGGTATTACTGCATTCAGAGGACTTCTACATATCTTTTGGGTGACACAGTTCAAATAATAACACTGAGCACCTACTCTATTCCAGGGTTTGAATTAGTAATGGAAGAGCAAAAGGGGGGACATACATATGAAATAACTGCACTTTGAAGTATCTCAGTCAAGTGGAAAAAGAGGTCCATAAAGAATCAGAACATGTTTAAAGAGTAAACATGCTATGAGAATGTAGAGGAAGAAGCTACCCATTCTGATTAGGCAGTTGGACCAAAGCTTTGTGGAGGAGGTTACATTGTAGCTGAGTTTTTTTCCTATCAATTTTCTGCTTGATCATAAAAACAAATCTATATTTAGTGTAGATCATAAAAATGATATATTAAACTTTCACCTAAGGAAGATAACAATAATTGCTATATTAGAGAGTATTTTTAAGTATTTTCTCTATGTATTCATAAAAACTTCCATGGAAAGAGAGCCAAGTTTGGTATAATGTTCTATAAACATTATTTTTTTCATTTGATGGGAACTCAGGCATATTTTTCACTTTATAAGATACCCTTATAAAACTTTTTTAGTTATGTAATAGTTCATTCTGCAGATGGATCACATATTTTTAAACTATGTTGACAGAAGTGTAAATGTTTTTTTATTTATGTTCTTAAAATAATTTTCATCTTCATAAGAAACATTTTCCATGTACTATTATTAGTTCCCATAGACCAACTTCTACAAGGTAAATGACTGAATAAAATAATTTAAAAGTATTTATATATAAACTAGTGGCCTGGTGCATGGATTTGAGCACATTGAAAGGAAATAAATTAGAAGATTCGTGCAGTAATTACATTACTACAAAAAATTACATGTCAAAATAGTATATATAATACTAGAGGCCCAGTGCACAAAAATTTGTGCACTCGGGGGGGTCCCTCAGC